AGCGACTCAACTTGGGCTGGATTCTCAGTCCAGCTTCTCTCATGGTCAACCTGTGGTCACATGATCAATAAGTTACTGCAGGAGATATGGTCTCTCACAAGTAATAACCTTGGATGGATGTCCTGTGAATGTACGCATTTCTCTACAACACAGGTACTACAAGGCTCTATGATATCGGTGAAAAGTGGCACTCTGTCCTTACAGAAAAAAAACTGCTGTTGTTTCCCCACTTGGGTGTTAGTAGTTCTGACCACCAGTTCTATTAATAGTTCCTAAGGGAGAGCAACATCACTAAAAATAAGTCCAGTGTGGTAACACGCAATCAGTTGATACAACAGGTTGAAAACGAACTAACAGTTCAGCCTGCCTCATAATCTGACTGCTTGTGTTTCTTGTCCGCTGCAGTATTTTGAGGGATGTTGCTGCATTCCTACATCACAGAAATAACTTTCAAAAATAGACAAGTTATCAATATATGTGACCACCCTTTGCCTTCAAACAGCAGCAGTTCTTCTGGGTACACTTGCAGAATGTGTTCGGCAGGTAAGTTGGCCCATAGTTCTTGGAGAACTTAGAGTCCTTCTTTGGATTCAGGCGGCCTCAGTCTCTCTTCATGTAATCCCAAACAGACTGGATGATGTTGTGATCAGGTCTCTGGGGGGCCATAACATCACTTCCAGGAGATAGTTATTAGTGACTTTCGCTGTATGTTTGGGGTTGTTGCCTTGTTGCAGACTAAATTTGGAGGCAATCCGATGCCTCCCTGTTGGTATTGCATGGATAAGTACCTGTCTTTACTTCTTAGCATTGATTAGACCATTGAATAAATGGTCTGAATAGGACCAAATCGCCAACTCTGTTTACAGGAATGCAGCCCCAAACTTGTAACCTTGCTTCAACGTTGCCTGCAGACACTCATTCTCGTACTGCTCTCCATCCTTTTGGCAAACAAACTGCCTTCTGCTGCATTCAAATATTCAATTCAAATGTTGACTCATCATTCCAGGGCACCTGTTGCCATTTTCAACCCAGTTCTTTTATGAAGGCCATTTCTGATCAAGCTTTTCTGGACATTAGATGGGTACCAGGGTACCAGGGTCCATGGCTGTAGCCAGCTATGTGGTCACCGAGGTCCAGACCTCTGTAATTATATGTAAGCTATAGCCTATTAATTTTGATAATTGATAATCTGTCCTGTTAAGTTTATAACTAGTTTTTAGTTTTGCTGCTTAAGTCACGATATTTGCTGTGACATTTCTGCATTTTCTTGATTTTTATGCACACACATACATACACTGCTGTATATTACAGGAATGCATTGTAGTTTGTGATTACATTTGGAGTAGTATTTTAGTATTTTAGTGCTCTGACTGACTCATGCTTTCCTGACCTGGTCTTGTTCAGTGCAGAGCTGCCTTGCTTATACAAACTGAAGAGGCAGGTGTCATCCTGAAGTTTCTTGAAGGTCTTCAGCGTAATCTGATTCACTGTATACAACAAAAACACTAATATGTATAACTGCAAAAAGTATTTCTGTGCTCCCATCTCAAGGTCCCAGGCTGAATTTAAGTCCCAGTACACCCCTGGAGCAGTGGTGAGGATGACTTTGAGTTAAAAGATTTTTTTTTAAAAAGCTCAGTATCTTCTTAAAACAGCTGCTGAAAGATAAGAAAATGTGCATTTCTTGGGGACTATTTCAACTGAAATCAACTTCAAATTCAAAATGTGCGTGTCTGTGCGTGTGTGCAAATCTTTGCATATAATAATATTACAGCATTCTTGGTCTTAGTCAAGTCTGACACACAATAACACAGACTTATTATTATTATTATTATTATTAAACAAACTAAAAAGGATTATTTTTTTAGCAGGAATACATTTATAGTGGTATATCAAATTTAGTGTATGCTATTGTATATAATATTGTATTTTTATATCATATTATCTTAATAAACACTGATAAAACATACAGCAAGGCTTTATTTAATGCGTCTTGTGATGTTTTAATATTACAAGGTTTCTTGAGGAAACTTCGTTGTTGATGTTATTAGAAAATGAAATCCATAAAGTAAAGCATCACCAAACATACTTACTGATTATGTAAGAGCTCATCAAGTTAGTTGTTTTGCTGCCTTAGCTGTGTAGTATAAATGCCTTCAGGGAACCAAACTATTTAGCAATAATTAAAAAGGGGCAGCAAAATATGCATCATAAACACATTCAGTGGTACAAAAGTAAGAGTGATGACACTAACTTCAGGCTATCAGAAATGATCAGAATTTATTTTCTTTATTTTAATGAGTAACAGAATTTAACTTACATTACTTTTTTTTTTTTTTACAACTCTTTACACATTTTCAAAACCATGTCTTCTTTTTTCAAAACTTTGCACACAATTCCCAAAACTGCCTCATATCTCAGCACCGCATTCAAAATGCCATAAAATGAAATGAATCTATTTTGTCTTTGATAAGCTTATGTATACATTTTCATATAATGTTCCTAGAGTGAAAGCAATCTGCTGAGAAGCCTTGAAAGTCCATTAAGACTCTTCAGCTGATGCAGCACGTGTTCTGACAGGAACCAGGAAAAGAGATCATATTTCTCCTGTTTTAGCTTCTTTGCATTGGCTTCCAGTAAAATCCAGAATAGAATTTAAAATCATTCTTCTTACCTACAAAGCTCTTAATGGTCAGGCACCATCTTATCTTAAAGAGCTCATAGTACCTTACTACCCCACCAGAGCACTGCGCTCCCAGAATGCAGGGTTACTTGTGGTTCCTAGAGTCTCCAAAAGTAGAATGGGAGCAAGAGCGTTCAGCTATCAAGCTCCTCTCCTGCGGAACCAGGTTCCAGTTTTCAGCTTCAATTTTATCTGAGTTTAACATTAGAAAATTACTGGTCATCCAGGTTTTAACATCCTGAAGGCACATTTGGAGTTTAGCTAACTGATGAGTTTCATCTGGCTTGATTGATAGATATAACTGAGTATCATCTGCATAACAAAGAAAGTTTATGGAGTGTTTCCTGATAATATTGCCAAAAGGAAGCATATATAAAGTGAACAGGATTGGTCCGAGGACAGATCCTTGTGGAACGCCATGACTAACTTTGGCGTGCATGGAGGACTCATCCTTAACATGTATAAACCGAGATTGATCTGATAAATAGGACTGTGTATAGTTCGATCTTATCAAGCACACACTACATTTGGATAAACTTATTATGTCTTTCCACGCATGTGTTAAAAATAGTATAAGAAGCCGTAAATCCGGTTGACTTATGTTATTGTGTATTATATACCAGATTATGTATATATACACTTGCTCTGTTCAATTGCTTGTTAACACAAATAGCCAATATCAGCCATGGCATGTCAATGCATTTAGACATGTAGACGGGATTTAAGTGACTTTGAACGTGCCATGGTTGTTGGTGCCAGATGGGCTTGTTAGAGTATCAGAAACAGAGAAAATATCCAGTGAGCAGCAGTTGTGTGGACAAAAATGGGCTACAGCAGTAGACAACACCAGGTGCCACTCCAGTCAGCTAAAAACAGGAAACTGAGGCTACAATTCACACAGGATTGCCTGGCATGATGGGGTCGGAATTTGGCGTAAACAACAACAAAGCATGGATCTATCCTGTCTTGTATTAACAATTCAGGCTGGTGGTGGTGGGGAAATGGTGTGGGGGATATTTTCATGGCACACTTTGGGCCTCTTAGTACCAATTGATAAAATAAACATTTAATAAAAAGTTAACAAATGTTTATTTATCTCAAAATAAGCCAAATTAAGCATTGTGTTAATTCATGTTATTAAAGTATGAAAATCAGTGCTTCAGTAGTGTCCGTGCAGGCTGATAGATGTGAGGGTGTTGTAATGTGTAAGAAACAAGGTAAATACAACTAAAACAACATATCCAAAAACCAAACCAAAGGTGGAGCCTGTGGAAAGAAACAGAGAAGGGCTGAAATGATCTCTGGTTGACAGAGAAAGGCGCGCTGCAAGTGAGTGATTAGGCTACTGTAATCTGTGACTTTTTTTTTTAATAGATGCTATAATGTTTATTGGAACCTGGAGATATGTCTACATGTTGACAGACGTGTTTCTGGATTGTGAATAAATGATCTTTAGCCTTTAGTGACAAAAGCTGGTCGGCTGGGGGGGGTATTTAGGTGTGTGTGTGTTTTTGTGTGTCCGGAGCACGTCCCCCCACCAGCAGTTGTAACACTGCAAAGGTAAGCAAATGCGTGTTTCCCTTGGTCTTAATTTGAAATTGGCATCACGTCAGGTGAGGCTGAAACTGGTTAATTGAGCCACACTATAAGTTTGAACATTTGAACCATCTTGTATATTTTAGAGGTATTTTTTGAGCTGGCATTAGGGGACAGCAGGGGCGAAAGTACCACTTTTCAGAAAAACCTGATTTTAAAAGATAATGTTTCAGACAGAGATATATGTTTGCTGTGATCACAGGTGTGGTCTATCAATATCAGATGGTATTTTGGACAAATGTAGAACGACTTCCGTATAATTTCACTTTAAACACAAGCGGCACATCGTCAGCTGGGACAAAAGTAACACAACAATACAAGCTAGATTTATGTGTGTTACCCTTGTATTTAATAAATAAACATGCCTGTGACATTGTTAATGTGTAACCTTTTTTAAAAAATCAAATAAAATTTTTATTTTAAATATTCAGTTTCAAAAGTAACTTGACAGCCCAAACTTGAATTGTTTAGAATATTTCATATTATATTAAGGATATATTATAAATATATCATATAAATATGCTCATTTGTGCACCTTAAACAGGGAGGAAATGGTTAGATTGTTTATCAACCTGACATGATTAAAATAAAATAAGACTTTACTGATCCTGCACTGGGGATATTTGCATGTTTGCATGAAAAAATTAAACATAATTTAGAAAGATAAGACAAAGATAAAAAAAAAAATATACAAAAAAAATAAACAATAAAATTAAGATAAAAATTAAAAAGCTATTTACAGAATAGGCCTATACAAATTTCACATTTTGAAATGAATTTAAATTTGTTTTAGTAAGAAAAGTATGAGTGATACTGACACCTACTACACTGAGCTCCTTAGGAGACAGGCCAAAATAAATATCAGCCGCTCTCTTAATATAAGCATGCAGCTTCCTCTCCTAGTCCAAGGAGAAGACTTAATAATGTGATCTGTACCTGTGGTCTAGACTTCTCCCCAATTATCTCTGCCCTCCTCCTGCATTATCTGAACAAAGAAAGACTTTATCAGCTGACCTGAGACTAATGTTTCTAATAGAGATGTCCAGAAACGCCTTGTCATAAACATCTGGCTGAATCAGACCTCTGTCTTTCTGACCCACACTACTGGCATATTCTGTTGGTATAATATGACATAAACATGTTTTAATAAATGCTGCAACACACAGAAAGTCACCACATTAGCAGCGGGACAAAAGAAACACTTGTGGTCACTGTAGCAGGACAAAAGTAACAAGTGTTACTTTCGTCCCGACAGGAACTCCTGACATATAAACACGATTTATTTTTATACCGAAAAACTCTAACAGGGCAAACTTCAGGGTGTGTTAAAGCACTAAATAACCTGTAGATTAATAATTACTGTGACACATGAAACGAGAGACTAAACTTATAATTCGAAAAAGAGTCCCGCTTCAGAAATTTACTTGCCGTGCTCGAAAACAGTTTTCCGAAGACGGCCGCGGGAAACGATGACAAAATCATGCGATATTTGGCAGCTCCATCAAGGGTTGCGTGCTGAAGGTGCTGTCACAGCTTGGACTGCAAATGCAATCAGGGCTCTGAGAAAATCGCCTTGTTACTTTCGTCCCATGTTACTTTCGCCTCGGTTTAACCCTACAACATTTATGTTGTTTCTGCTTCTTGACTTGAGGGCTTGGAGCAGCATATTTGTATCCAAGGGACGGTGCTGTCATGGCTTCACTCATATTTAGCAAATAGGACCCTTTTTGTCTTCTAATTCAACAGGACCAGCAGGAAACACTATTGGTCAAATTTCCTCCACTAAAACTCCTATCTCCCTTTTTTTACCTTCTCCTCTCAGAAGTGCAATCATCAACACATCAACCACATCAAATGCCACACAAACACACCATCATCATTATACCGTAGAATAAAGGTGAAGTCCAAAATAGGGCTGTGCTGATTTTTTAAATAATTGTTTGACTGAAGGTTAATGACACTGAATAACAATAATTTAATAGAATTGTTCTTCAAGAGTTGCCAAACTTAAGGTCTGATTAATGCATCTGTGCACCACAGTGGACGGATTAACCTTCAGGGCTGTTGTCAGAAAGACATTTGCCTTCACTGTTTGTACATTCATGAATCATACAAATCTCTCCTAAAGACTTGCTTGCATGTAACATTTCCATGTTTTTACTTTTCAAATACAATATTGATGGGTGTTAGCATAAAACTATGCTGATTCTACACAGTGGTGCAGTGCAGTTATACACAGTATAGCCACTAGTGTGTGAGCGTAAATGAATGTGTGTGAATGGGGTTTAACACACCTGATGCCTCCCAAACAGACTACAAATAGTAGTCATTGGTCCTGCTCTTCCCTTTTTAGTAACATACATCTGAAATATTCCATTCTGTAAAATACAGTGAAAATGTGAGGAAGAACCTAGTATCAAATGTTAAGTTACTGCAGGTGTACCAAAATCGATTTTACAACGAATTTTGTGCTATGCCCATACATACAAGGTAGGTTTATTTGTCATAAAACAACATGTTGTAAATTGAAATTTAGTTTGTAACTCCCTTCTGGTATTTAGCAGACAATATACAGTAATAAAAACAGAAATACACTATCAGTGCTGAGGATGAATTTGAGTTAAAAGTTTGGCAGCTTGTACAAGTTGTGAAGATTTGTATACCAAGGTGTCCCTCTCGCATTTGTACTACCTTATCACTTGTGTGCCTGTACCGCTTATTTTATCTATCTGTGGTCTATTTCGTTCTCAAGCTCTCAAAGATATGTGAACTAGAAATCAAAAAAGTGTTTTTTCCTGTGTCAATGCCTATTGGGAGAGTAGTGTAGCAAAATGTTTAAGTGTGTTTTTGGAAATCAAATCCTTGCTTCATTGTGAGATGTGTATATGGCATTTTGAATGCAGTGTAGCATGTCTATTTTTTATAGCATTCTTACTTTACCGCATTTTCCCACATCGGCCTTGCACAGTTCTGTGAATGCATAACATATTTCAGTGTGTATTGTGTTTCACTTTATTGTGTGTTTGATTTGTTTAAATCTAGGCATTTTACTGTAAATCATCCATAGTACTAAATAGTCCTCCATGCAAGCTGAATAAATGTACAGTATACCAAAACAATTGAAAATAACATTTAATGATGTTCAGATTGAGGGACAGGGCAGCTGCGGTAGATTGCCTCAGCAAGTGATAAGTCATTGTAGTTGTGCTTTTTTAACATTGCAGGCTAAGGCTGCTGTTGTTGTGTGTTGCCACAACAACCGTGAGTAGGTTTAATTGGGTATGACTTGAAAATGCTGGGATTTGAAGTCTGATACCGAAGATGACCAGGGGATTTGTAGTGCATTTTCTGTGGACATTTTAACAGAATATCCGCTTAGTGAAAGTGAGGCTGGGATTTGTAGTCCAGTTCCGCATTGAGGTTCTCCAGGCGGCGGGCAGCTTGTAGAACTCATGTCATTTTTTTCTCATTATGTAAGGCGAAGAATATTTCTATTAGTACACGATACACTACCATGCAACAATCACACATGGACACCCCTGAACATGTGCACTGTTCAAATACACAGAGGAGACATCTAAAAAAACAGCGGCTAAAGGCTGGGATACACAGGTTGCATTTGGTAGAACTGGGAGAGTCTGTTCCTGTTAAATGCTTAACAAGTGTTTTTGTGACGCCAGTAAAAAGTTGATTAAACTGGGGGTTACAGTTAAGTATAATTTGACGCGAGATTGGACTTAATACTGAATAACATGAGTGTTTCCCATGTGGGGAAAAATCCTTGTATGTCGCAACTAATATACCAGCGTTACATGTGATGTTGAAACATTTCAGCAAATTAGAATTCTGTCTAACTTGTAAAGCCTTTAAGGATAAAATACTACTTTAGTTTGGTTAAGTCCAGTGGTGGAAATGGCCACGTTTTACTGGGGGAGCCACTTGGACGAGGGGGAGATTTTACTTAATTACTTTAAATTATAAGATTATTTTCTAGATTATGCAGCTTCTAAAGACATGTTCTCCTGTTATCCCTTGCTCTGCTGCTCTCATGCTGTCTCCTCTCCTGTCAAACAACAACAATAAACACATGAATCAATAATCAAGGTTAACGTTACATTAACTAGACTAGATATATCAAAGACACCATCACCGTTGATTTTGTATCGACTACTGTTATTGGTTTGATTCTTTGTCAATATTCTTATTAGTTGTTTTTATCACTAAAAGTGCTTTGTAAAAATATATTATTTGAATATAATAAATTCAGGATGAGAACTGAATATTTAAAATATAACTAAATGTTTACAACAACAAATCACTATATACAATATACACTATATACACTTTCCACATGTTGAACAGGTGTATTGATTAAGTATTTGTTTCTCACTCACAAAGGTTTTATTGCAATAACTTACAGTAACAACCGGAGCTATCAACTCAGTAATGTTCAGAATTCCTTATAGCTATGCAGTTTTATAAGCAGCCTGGTTTGAACGCAGCAGGTGATACAATACTCATTATAAACGCGAGCGACTTGAGACTTGACTTGGACTCTAGCTCAAAGACTTGTGAGCATCTTCGGTGTGTGTGTGAGAGCTCACAGAGAGCAGCATTTCTATTTCAGCACGTATTTGTTGTTCACAATGTAATGTTAGCATAATCATGGGAAAATAGGGTGCGTCGGCCGATTTTATGTCACTTTGGATTTTACGTGTACCTATCAACATCACTGCAGCTTCCAGCAAACCTCTAGCCGGTAGCTATTACAACACTGACACAGAAACATTACATTGGGAAGATGTTCCAGGGATCCTGCAATGTCATACCTGTATGGACAGTAGCTGGATTTATAGTGCATTCAAGCACAATAAATTATATTAGTTTCTTGACTCTTTAGAAACAGTGAAAAACAGCTATAAGCAATTTCCCCCTATAAAAAATATTGAATAGAATCTGAGCAGGAACGCCGTTCCCTCACAACTTTTCCTCTCAGAACGGCGGTCCCGCACAATCCTCCCCCATTTCCACCACCGGTTAAGCTCTCCTGCTTGTCCTGCATGTCCCAAACTCTCAATGTAAGTCTTCCTTGCCTATTTAGAAACTTACCCAAGTAACAATGCCTCAAAACTCCAGATACCCCCCCCCCCCACACACACACACTTCCACCCCCAGTTATAACAAAGTTACATTTTTCACATACAGCAACAATAAACCTGTTTTTAAGAAACAACCTCTTTTGATTCTTGATTGCCAAATGGGATTTTTTTTCCACCCATGGAAAGGGCTGATTCCATTGGTGATTCACTCCTTCAGTCTCCTTCCTCCTTCACCTGTCTCTCCAGTCTTTCTTCCTCTGATTTGGCCATTCCTTTGTTCTTTTAGAATTTCTGATTAATTATCCTGCAACAAAAAACAAGAGATATTTTCAAGCATGATCATCAATTAAACACCTGGAAGTTGTCCAGTACAACTACAGTCTTATCTGCTGCCAGTGAGCAGCTCCAGTAGAGCGGTTGGGCTTAACCCCTTAATGCCTGAATTATTTAAAACATTACTTTTCCGTAAAGTGCTACCGGCAGAGATTCATGGTTATTACCCACAGAGCAGTGTCTGTCTGTTTAGAGAGACTCTGCGTATCCAAGAGAGTATGCAGGCGGAGCGTCGCTTCCTGTCTGAAATACTAAAACATGTGGTGTAGAAGTCAACACCGATTTATTAGTGGTCGCCAACGTAAATGTGGCAGAGAAACAGAGAGAGAGAGACCCACACAGTGAATGCGAGGATTCTCCTTGCTGCTGGAAGAGGTGTTGGTGGGCCAGTATGGGGCAGTCTTCTCTCTGGTCCTAACAATAAGATCCCAATGCTCCGGTGCAGTAAGGCACTTATCGCAAAGAGTAGGGAGTCCTGGCAAAATTCCCCAAATCATCCCTCACAGTAATTGGCCTTATGTTTCCTCCCTCTCATCGTCAAGTTGATATGCAAATGACTGCCATGCTTCACCCAGGTGGGTGCTACACATTGGTGGTGGTTGTGATAAGTCCCGCCACTTCACTCTGAAGTGCTTTGAGTATCTATCATAAAGTGCTATTTAAATGTAATGTGTTATTATTATTATATTATTATATGCTCAATGAGAAAAAAACTGTAAGAGAAGTAAGCTAGATAAATGTTGCTTGATAAATGTGTCTTATTTTTAAAGTTGTTTTAAAACTTGTGTCACTGTCACAGACAGTGCTGTAAATTCATTCGTATTCAGGAGGGAGATCAGTGGAAAACAATGTTCAATACCCCTAAGTGTCATTTCGAGTATTTGGACTAACTAATGCACCATCAACAGTATTATTATAATCATTATTATTATTTGACTACTCTGAGACGATTTCTCAAATTGCAAAAAGTGCAAAATCTGATCACCAAATATTCACTAAAAATAAAATAACTAAACTTCTAAAACTGTCAACACAGTGTTATGTGTGTATTTACCTGTTAGAGCGGTTCAGGGTAGACCTGTCTTGGGTCATAGGTCAAGTCAGGGATGTAGGGCTCGTGGAGTTCAGGGTCTAGTGGCAGGGTGTCCAGGGGCAGATCAGCATAGCCATAGTGAGGGTAAGAGCCATCTGCGTCTGAAACAGACACAGAGAAGCAGAGACAGAAATAATCTAATCAGCCAAATATCTTTTACAAATGACTAATATCGATCATCTCACTCTCTGAAAGACAGCAAATAAATGTGTTTCCAAAGACTACTGAATAGTACTTTTGCTTGAAATGCCCTCACTAACACATACACTCAATTGTGAGTTGTAGTTACCATTACTTGGTTTAGACAAGGGCACAAATTGTGATTTTATTTATGATGTGTTCACTGGAGATGGGAATTGTTGTTGTCACCACCTGGTTGCCTATAACAGAAACTTGCAACAGGTGTTTACCACACCTTGGTAAAGTACTAGACAAATTAGTTCCCCTTCGAGGGAACTCGAACTTCGTCGGTGACGACACTATGGGAACGCCTCTGGGCGTGGCAGGGCTGAAGTATGAATGAAACTACTCCAATCCTATTGGTGTTGCTAGAACGGTAGCGTGTGATGGCGTAACCGGAGGGGTATATAAGCACGCCAGCACACAGGACACATTAGCCTTTTTTTATTCAGCAGGCACTCTGAGTATGTTTGGAAGCTTCACTATCGAGAAAGTTGTTGTCTTACCTGGAAATCCTGACGAAGCAGTAGAGACCATGTCTGGTAATCAGTTCCGACAATGTGTTTTTCCATGCCCACGCTACATCGCGGCTGGGGAGACTCATGAGATGTGTGTTTCCTGGGGATGTCGCACGCACAGGCAGCTCTCGAGGGGGTTGCCTGCGGCCATGGCGAGGCGGCCATGGCGAGGCCCGGTCCCTGAGGGTGCTGAGGTCTCGTGCGGCTGTCTTTCGGAAGACGGTCGGATGCGACCTAGGGGGAGGTCCCTCTGAGGAGTACCTGACTGAGCTCCGTAGAGCTACGGACTTAACACTCCGTGTTACCAAGGAGACGGCCCGTTTCAGTGGCTACGGAACGCCATCTGTGGCTTAACCTCTCGGGCATCCAGGGGAAGGAGAAGGCTTTTCTCCTGGATATGCCCCTCTCTCCTACTGGCCTGTTTGGTGAGGCAGTGGATGCTGTCGTCAGCAGGTTTCAGCACGCCAAAGGCAGGGAGAGGCGTTTGAGCAATATCTCCCCTGCCGGTCAGGGTCCAGGACGGCGACGGCTGAAGAGAGACGAGCTCAGCCCTCGGCTGGCTCCTACCACCGGAGCCAGAAGCGAAGCGTCGCTTCCCATAGTCCCTCTCAACAAACCTGGGACGCGAGGCGACGCTCTCGCCCACAGCCCCCAGAGAAGACAGGCCTGAGGACCGTCATTCAGTCTCTTGGGGAAGAGGTCCTGAGGTTTCGAGTAGGGGGGCCCACCACCATTCAGGGTGCCACCGGGGACCTACGCATAACACCGGCCAACAGCCCCGAGGGGTTGGTTCCCTTAGCGGATTTTGTAGAAGCATGGCGGAGCCTTGCAAACATTTCCCCGTGGGTCCTGCACACCTGAGTGGATGGCTACAGGCTGCAGTTCCGGGTCCACCCCCCGCAGAAGTTCAACGGGGTGGTCTGGACTGTGGTGCATGCGGGGCAGAGCCAGGTGTTGGGACAAGAAGCTCTCTGCTGGAAAACGGGGCCAGAGAGCTTATTTCCCGCCAGTCAGGGAGTCCGGGTTCTACAGCCAGTACTTCATAGTTCCCAAGAAGGACGGATGGGTTGCGTCCGATTTTGGATCTACGGTCCCTGAACCAATCTCTGAGGAGATTCAGGTTCAGGATGCTCACCATCCACGCCATCGTCAGTTCCGAGGATTGGGTTGTCACGATAGATCTGAAAAAGACGCTTATTTCCAGTCTCCATCGGTCCCTCTCACAGGAAGTTCCTGAGATTTGCCTTCGAAGAAGAGAAAAGAAGAGCGGCTTACCAGTATCGGGTTCTTCCATTCGGCCTAGCACTCTCTCCCCGCACGTTCACCAAGTGGAGCCAGGAGGATGAGACCCGTGACTCGTTCCAGGGTTCCCACCTGGGACCTGGCAGTGGTTCTCGAAGAGGATGGGAGACTTCATCTGCTCTGTCCTGTCAGAGCACCGAGTATTTACACTCAGTTGCTGGTGTGTTTCTTGTACCCCAAGGCTGGGCTCCCCGCTTCTAAACACACCATCAGCAACTGGATCGTTCAGACTATTTCGCTGGTGCGCGGGTTACCTTCACCTATGGCCGTAAGGGCGCACTCTACTCGAGGCATGGCGGCTTCTTGGGCCCTCCTCGCAGGGGCGTCACTCCAGGATTTGTGTGACATGGCTGGCTGGGCCACCCCTCACACTTTCATCCGGTTTACAGTCTGGACCTTCCTTCTGCACACGGCACCCATGCGCTCTCCTCCTAGTTGTGCCGTCAGGTTCTGCACGCTGGGGGCAGGCGGGGTTTCGGCGTGGCCTAAGTGGGTATCTCGTTCCCATAGTGTCGTCACCGACGCAGTTCGAGTTCCCTCCAAGGGGAACGTCTGTGGTTACATATGTAACCCTTGTTCCCTGAGAAGGGGAACGAGACACTGCGTCGGTCCGCCACACCTCACCCCGCCTGGAGTGCCTTGCTTCATAGGAAAGGGCTAATGTGTCCTGTGTGCCGGCGTGCTTATATACCCCTCCGGGCACGCAGTCACACACTACCGTTCTAGCAACACCAATAAGATTGGAGTAGTTTCATTCATAGTTCAGCCCTGCCACGCCCAGAGGTGTTCCCATAGTGTCGTCACCGACGCAGTGTCTCGTTCCCCTTCTCGGGGAACAAGGGTTACATACGTAACCCGAGACGTTATATCATATTTTAAGAACTACTCCTGTAGGTTTCACTTTTTGTCACACTAGAGGCTTTCTGTCCTAAATTATGCTAATGCTGCACAGGATGAAATGTTGTCTGCAACAATATTTTGATTACAGTGCAAGTTATAGCAGAATTAGAGAGTGCAACTGAAGTGGCCAGTTTAGTGTGGAAGTAATTAATTACAATATAGCAGTTCAACTTCAAATGTACGTTCTGGTGCAACAGAACAAAATGAATGTAATGAAAATGTTATTTTCCAGCTAGAAGAAAACTTATCCACATTTATTGAGGCTTTCTAGGACACATGAGCACTGGTTATTGACTTAATTGTAGCATTCTGTGGGCACTAAAGCTCAATATGTTAAAAACATAGGCATAAAGCTTGATTTGCACTTCTGCATCGAGTCTACGCCGTGGTGTCTGCATCATTCTGCAATTACACCACCAAAACAACATAGTTGGTGGTACCTCCACATTGTCCACTGACCTCTAGATGGTAGAACCACTGAGAATGGTCAGAAGCCATAAAAATGGGATCTTCAACACACACACACACACCAAATGCTGCCCCACTACCTGGGTTGCACCAAGCTGTCCACTGATAAAAGGATCACCACACCCCTAAGTGCCTGGCTCTTGATAGAGAGACAAGCACAGCTCTTCCATTCCACAGCCTCAAAGTCTATTGTAACCAACTTGCAAATGTGAAAACTGTTTAAATATTTATTCCCTCAACAGTCCAGGACCTCCACATCCAGCATCTTCACCTGCAAGATCGTCTGAGACCAGCCACAGCTGCTGCAAGAATCGGTTTGCATCATCAAATAATTAAAATTGGTAACATCTATGGTCCAAACAGAGATTAGCCATCCTTCTTCGGAATTTTTTTTCATATCTTTCAGACACTTCAGATTGTCCAGTCATAATAGGAGGCAACTTCAACACAATGATCAACCCAACAATAGATAGATACAAGACCCGCTCCCATCATTACAAGAAACATAAAATTAATTGAAACATTCTCAGAAATTTCAGAATACTCCATTAACTGGAGAAAATCATTTATTCTTCCACTTGAAAGTAATAGCTGGGATGTGGCAGCCCATTCATCACCTATCCCATTATGCGCAAGTTATATTATGTATCTAGGCATCAGAGTTTCCCTGAAGCTATAAGAACTATTTGGTCTCAACTTTCCACCATTACTTAAAACCTATGAACCTACCAATATCCCTAATGGGTAGAATATCAATAATCAAAATGACAATTCTTCCTAAAATAAACTATGTATTCTCAATGATCTGACACAACCCACTCCTACTTGGTTTAAACAATTAGACTCCATCATCTCTAAATTTGATTGGAAGAACAAAACACCAACAATCAAACTGATTACTCAAAGCAAAAATCAAAGACACAAGGAGGCCTGAATGCTCCACATTTTTACCGTTATTATCTGGCAAATCAGCTTCAGTATGTACAAAATGGAGTCACCTGAACCCGTCAAGTGAAACTTGGGTAGATATAGAAGAAACTATCTTAAAAGAAATCATGATCTCAGACCTACCATTCCTCAGCCAAACAAGCAAACGCCATCCTTGTTTCAACACATTAACAATAGCAAAAGCTCTGACAGCCTGGTGGAAATTTCACAAAATCACAAACACCACTTTTGCACCCTCTAAATATACTCCTATATGGAATAACCCTGACTTTACAATTACAGGTTTTTTTCAATTGCTAAGATGCAATGGTCAAAGCTAAAGCCACTTTTTCAAAACTCTTCACACAGTCTGCATTACCAACATGCATCTTGGCCAAACAATTAATCTCACCTGCAAAAGTCACTCAAACCACCAAAACACTTCATACAAGTCTCAAAATGAACTCGTTCAACCAATACACAAGTCTCACGCAGAAAGCATCCATTGTCACTCACACACACTGACCTACAAAAAACTAATAACAGGAAGCATTACGTAAATTTGGTTAACTTTATCTTCAAAATGTGACAGATTTTTCATTATAGAATACAGTTGTTCTCACTTTGTCACTTTGGTACATTTCTCAGATCAGAATTGAAATTTTACTTGTTCAACCTCCACATCATCTAGTCACTTGTGCACATCATATGTAAAAGCAATTTCCCAAATTGATCGAAATTGCAAATGGAAAATGCTTTGACACATTTATGCAAATAATTATGTACAAATGTCTGCTGTTTCCCACATTATCAGTTGCTTACTGTATGTCATGTTGATCACAATGTATTACAGTATACTGGTTCTCTGTTGAGTAGCCTTACCCCCAAAAACATCTAGTCATAAGTTCATTGCGTAAGTCACTACATGCAAAATGGTTGAACACGTCATAATGTGCAAATAATTTTTTCTACATGTCTATTGGACTTTTTTTTTTGTAAATGTGTGCTACAGTAAATTGATGAAGATATCTGTTGTGATGTGAATAAGAATCTATGGCCCAATAGACAGGAACATCAACCTGAGGGGGTGTTTCCATGTTTCCGTTTCTTATTTTGTAACTGTTCCGTTATGCTATCCAGTGTTGTAAAATAGTCTTGTCTTTTTCTTTTCTGCATCACAATGACATGCTCTGTCAACAAATTACAGTGCATACAGTAAAAGTGTAACTGTGAATCCTGTCCAGTTCCCTGCAATGTATAACTCTGTACTGTTGAAACTGATCTATGCCATACAGAAAAACTGCAGCCTTGTGCATTTTCATTCATTGTCATCTAAACCTTAGCCATAGTTTACAAATACAAATAGTTTTGCAAATGTTGAGGATGATTGTAGAAATGGACTGCATTCAGCAATTTACAAAAAAAGTTCCTGAAATTTCAGTACTGTAGTACAGTTTTTCTCAGTTGTTTACACAGTAACACTGGTACGTGAGACACAATGACCACAACCTGTAATAGAAGCACCAACCACTTGAACCAATTCTGCTAAAATACAAGCACATTTCCTGCGTTACACTCAGCTTGCAGTTTCACAGTAAAACCAATTTCATAAAACTACACACATTTCTCTACGCACAGAGACGTAAACATAAAATGTACGTAAATGTTCTGCTAAGATTTTCTATATATTTCAGTCTGGTTGCTACAAAAATGCAGGATATTTGCAATCACTTTTGAATGTGATTTTAACAGTTCTGGACAAAGTGTGTTAGCATTTGAAAAATGTGCTGCAGATATACAGTGTTTTGCAGGTGGTGAAGTAGTAATGAGAAAAGAGTTCATGGATTTTGGAGAAAGTGGTCATTGAATGCATTTTGTGTGAAATCAATGAAAAATGATTCACAGTTTGATCCACATACACTTCTGTTTCGCTGACTGTGTGAAGAGTTTTGACAATGTGACTTCAGTTTTGACCAATGCAGGTTACCAATTGAAAAAAACTGTAACAAGAAAGCAATTAGCTTCCGCTCATGGATTGGAAAGGGAATCACACACCTTCAACACATCTTTCATAATAACACCCTGGTCTCATTCCCAGAAGTACGGCATCGGGAGTAAACATTTTTTGGAATATTTACAGCTCAAATCATCCATCCAAACAAAAATTAACATTATGTCCACTAACTTAGATCTTTTCTTTATCCTCAGAAGTAATTACCATCCCCTCCTCCAAAAAAAATGTCTCCAGAATCTACAAAATAATATCACAATCAGACAAGACTGTATCCATACCATCTACAAAATGGGAGATAGACCTGTCTATCACTCCTGATGCTGACTTCTGGAGCCAAATTTGCAAAAACATCTATTTTATGACAAAGAATGCAAACCTACAACTCAAGACAATATAAGGTACTCCACAGAAGATTGTTTAAAATGGCATTCACACCCGAAACTTGTTCACAATGTCCCCGATAACTACACTGCTCAAAAAAATAAAGGGAACACTAAAATAACACATCCTAGATCTGAATGAATGAAATAATCTCATTAAATACTCCTTTCTTTACATAGTTGAATGTGCTGACAACAAAATCACACAAAAATTATCAATGGAAATCAAATTTATCAACCCATGGAGGTCTGGATTTGGAGTCACACTCAAAATCAAAGTGGAAAACCACACTACAGGCCGATCCAACTTTGTGTAATGTCCTTAAAACAAGTCAAAATGAGGCTCAGTAGTGTGTGTGGCCTCCACGTGCCTGTATGACCTCCCTACATCGCCTGGGCACGCTCCTGATGAGGTGGCGGATGGTCTTCTAAGGGATCTCCTCCCAGACCTGGACTAAAGCATCCACACCACGTTGCACCACAGACTGTCCAGGAGTTGGTGGATGGAGCGAAACATGATGTCCCAGATGTGCTCAATTGGATTCAGGTCTGGGGAACGGGCGGGCCGGTCCATAGCATCTTGCATTAGGAGGAACCCAGGGCCAACCGCACCAGCATATGGTCTCACAAGGGGTCTGAGGATCTCATCGCGGTACCTAATGACAGTCAGGCTACCTCTGGCGAGCACATGGAGGGCCATGCGGCCCCCCAAAGAAATGCCACCCCACACCATTACTGACCCACCGCCAAACCGGTCATGCTGGAGGATGTTGTAGGCAGCAGAACGTTCTCCACGGCGTCTCCAGACTCACACGTCTGTCACATGTGCTCAGTGTGAACCTGCTTTCATCTGTGAAGAGCACAGGGCGCCAGCGGCAAATTTGCCAGTCTTGGTGTTCTCTGGCAAATGCCAAACGTCCTGTGGACGTCGGGCCCTCATACCACCCTCATGGAGTCTGTTTCTGACCGTTTGAGCAGACACATGCACATTTGTGGCCTGCTGGAGGTCATTTTGCAGGGCTCTGGCAGTGCTCCTCCTGCTCCTCCTTGCACAAAGGCGGAGGTAGCGGTCCTGCTGCTGGGTTGTTGCCCTCCTACGGCCTCCTCCACGTCTCCTGATGTACTGGCCTGTCTCCTGGTAGCGCTTCCTTGCTCTGGACACTACGCTGACAGACACAGCCAACCTTCTTGCCACAGCTCGCATTGATGTGACATCCTGGATGAGCTGCACTACCTGAGCCACATGTGTGGGTTGCAGACTCCGTCTCATGCTACCACTAGAGTGAAAGCACCGCCAGCATTCAAAAGTGACCAAAACATCAGCCAGGAAGCATAGGAACTGAGAAGTGGTCTGTGGTCACCACCTGCAGAACCACTCCTTTATTGGGGGTGTCTTGCTAATTGCCTATAATTTCCACCTGTTGTCTATTCCATTTGCACAGCAGCATGTGAAATTGATTGTCAATCAGTGTTGCTTCCTAAGTGGACAGTTTGAGTGTGATTGACTTAGAGTTACATTGTGTTGTTTAAGTGTTCCCTTTATTTCTTTGAGCAGTGTATATTCACGCCACCTGGAACTGCACACCAATTAAACGATTTTGGAAGGAAATCACTACATCATTATCCCTTTTCCTGGGTGTTCACATCCCATTATCACCTCATGTCTGCTTACTAGGTGATATGTCAACAATTAATCTGGAAAATAAGGAAAACAGTCGATTACTCCTTGTGGCTCTAACTATCGCCAAGAAAACCATCCTTATGAACTGGAAATCAAGGACCGCCATACATATAACACATTAGAAAAACTTAATGATAGTGTACGTATCGTACGTGTTGTTTATAGCTTCATTATTATTATTATTATTATTATTCCTGCGATGGACTGGCGACCTGTCCAGGGTGTACCCTGCCTTTCGCCCAATGTCAGCTGGAATTGGCTCCAGCCCCCCCACGACCCTGTACGCAGGATTAGCAGTTGACGATGGATGTATGGATTATTATTATTATTATTATTATTATTATTATTATTTCCTCTTTTTCTTCTGTGTAGTATTCAATGTAGTGACAGGCGTCTACACTGCTGGAATTATACAAGCAGAAGAAGAACGCCGTGATGATGAAACGCGCTCTGTAGCACTGTTTGTTCGTTTTCGGCTATGGTAGAAACATGGAGACCCTTGGTTATGTAGATATAAATGTCTCATTCTAAAGTAATAAAAACATAACGGTTCATTATGTAAGGTCTTTATACACCACTGAAATTTCTGTCAATAGATCCTCAGAAATATTACACAGTGAACATTTAAGGGGGGGGAGTTATAGTCATCGAGACAGAACACCACCAACTCTGGTTTTCAGTTTGCAGCCTCATCTTTCTACCAAATAATAGAAAAATATTGATTGTGAGCAATCTTGAAAATGTTCTGTTTAAGTGTGTAAGATGCTAAAACCCTGCTGCAGACAAAAATGTTAACAGTCTTTTGGGAGTATTCCCTGTATCAATGTACTCACCATCAGCTAGGTATGTAGGCTCCAAAGGAACTGCAGTATGGGCCTGGACAGAAACAGAGACAGAGATGAACAAAATAATCTTTTGTGTATATGGCTATGGCAACATTGTTTCTGTCTAAAGCACACTGGGAAGACAGTGGTGGGGGAGACACACAGACAAACCTCACCAACCAATTCTACTGACCAAAGAGAAGAATTATCAAACAGAGCAAGCATCACTGAATAGCTGAATTGCTCACAAAGGAAAACAAGTGGATGAAAACTTGGAGACTTTGAAAATAGTGAATCAAAGCTAAACACATCTGTTTCTTATTTAGATCAAACAGAACAGAACAAAACTCAACAGCTGGAGGAATTATTAGTGTGGTATGTTTTTTCTACATAACATATCTAGTAGCTGTCATGACCAGCCTCGAATGCCAGGACATAAAGTGGGAAAGACACAGCGCTTCAATTCACAAGGTTTATGGTGTGTTAGTCAGCAACATCAGTAGTGTCGATATGGATGGGTGATCATGGTGTAAAGTGTTGTGGTGTCCAAATAAAACAAATATGTAACAAAAACCAAAAGGTGTAGCCGCTGGCAGGAGCACTGGGGCCAGGTGTTCCCGAAATGGGAAGGACCACTGCAATCAGCTCCTCAAACAGAAAACCACATCACCATTGAAGTACTATCACACATACACATTCAAGCCACACAGGGGTGTCACATAGCCATTACATACAGTAGACTGGCACTGGGTCACTGCTGTATATGGTTATGATATGCACTGAATATTTGTTTTCTTCAGATAATTAAGATGACCTTTTTCAAAATAATAATATTTGAATTACTATGCATATACACGTTTGAGCTTTGGCCAAAATATAACATCCTCCCAGTGAAACTGATTGGATTTAGATTTTTTTGAGAGACAGGTGGGAGGCAGGAGATATATCAGCTAGAAGTGTCTCGTTTAGGTGGAATGTTTGTGTCATGGTACACACACACACACACACACACACACACACACCCTCACACACACACACACCTTTCTTACCATTTCCCAGGCAGCAGGGTCGTGTTTGAAAAGTGAGTGTGTGAGCTCCACTGACACTCTCTTCCTGTAATCTGAACTCTTGTCCTCCGAAATTCGGAACAGCACCGCTGCAGCGTAGGTGGCTACAGGGAGACGGCAACATCGTAATTTATGAACAGACATAAGAGAAAAGGCCAGGCACTCAAAACATAAATAGTCAGTTCCTCCAAGAGATTAAATTTGTATGATCACAAAGCAATCATCATAATATTTATTAGAGCAAGTATTAACTTGGCAATAATCACATTGTTCAACATTTGACAGTTTTCTGTAGCACGTCAAACCTTTTTTAATGTCCTGCCCCATTCAGGCCCCATTGGTCGACAAAAACTGACTGATAAGCACATCGGCTTTATGAAAAGTGTTAAACATGTTAAACAACAAAAGGCACTGATCCAACATTAAATGGCTAGCTAGCCAAACCCAGACCTTCCTTATCTTCTCCCGATTTTCTTCTGTTTTACCACTTCAGCTGCTGACGACCAGTGTTGGGCAGTAACACGTTACTGTAATAATATTACATTTTCCAGTAACTACTAGTGTAACAGATTACTATCTCCAGTAATATTCTTACAGTTGCTTATCCAAGAACCATTACGTTACTATTTACTGAACGCGTCATCCTTGATGTAAATGTGCGACTGCGCTGCAGCTTATTGGCACCAGACCTTATGTTGTTCAAGTCAGCTGTTAACCAAGAACGAGGGAGAGAGGGATTCTTTCCACAGCTGTATGCAGCCACTGCCATTATTGTGTCCCAGTCAAAGATACAAAGAACATTGTTGTCCGTTGTAAACTCAGTAATGACTACTAGTGGACTAGGAAATCTTAAGTCAGGGTCAGCCCTAAAAAAACAATCTTTTGGGTAGTGATTTACACAGGATAGTGGTCTGGTCAGGGTACACAACTCTCCAGTGTTTTATATAAGAGTGGGAATAAACTATGTGGTGGAAATTATGTAGTGGAAATGAAAAGTGACTGCTTAGGTTGCAGTTTGTAAACACAAGATTCAAAAACTCCAAGCAAGAGAGAGAGAGAGCACAGCAGTGGTTAAGCGAGCTAGAGAATCAATGAAATGACGTGAAAACGTACCGATTCCCTCGTTGTTGGAGTGCAGCAGCTCCATGAGGGGTGCAGAGGCTCCCTCTGCATCGATGAGCTCTGCAGACTGTTTGTCCAGGGCCAGCTCGCACAGGACACCCGCCGATACTCGCTTCACGTTTTCCACATACGAGTACAGCAGCTGGACACAAACACATAAACCTGTGCTCTTAGATGGGTGTATTTTTAACAGCACATTACTTGCTTACTTCTACAGGTTTGTTTTTTTTGTCATAACTTTTGGTACTGACAGTCTTGGTCTTCACAGACACCATGGAGTTGTAAGGCTGGTGTGTTCTCAATATTATAAAGAGATTAGACTTAAAATTGTCTGTAGGTGCAGGGCTCCAGACTAACTTTTCTTACTAGGAGAGTAAGTATTGAGAATTTTAGGGGCACAGGCAGAAAATTTAGGGACGCAAACCTCAAATCGACCTGCAATGCAATTTTTCACATTTGCCCCATTTTAACTGTGTGAGTAATAAATGCTTTGGTAATTAAACCAGAAACTACAATGAGCTGTTTTATTTTAGCTCACAGTCACGTTGTAATTGAATGGGGCTTAACAGATGCACAAACTGGAAGTGGTGATGCCGTTTAATTGGTGTATCTGTCTCGGCATATTTTATGAAGCTGCTGTTGTGCTTAATTAAGATGCCGTGTTTAAACTGTGTGGTGTTGCCAAACTAAGTTTTCCCCGCATGAGGAAGACCACATCTAGTGCAGTATATCAAGCTCATGGTGTTGGTGTTTTTACTAAATCTAAGCCATATAGATGTGGCCACTATGTTCATCAGGGAAGAAAGTTTTCATTACAAAATACAAACATCTGGGACTGACCAACAAAAAGCCTGAGGTTTTCAAGGTATTCTACGGCTATGGGTGCACTCTCAAAAACTCCAGAGAAATACCAATCATAGCACAAATGTGTGTAAATGCTTTACATTCAAGCATAATCAATCATATCAAAAATATTGAAAAACACACTGAACTTGAACATAAGCTACAACAATGAAAGTAAGTATGCTTAAGTAAGTAGGCCCACTGCCTCCCAGATCTCTCCTGTACAACTCTGTGTCTTTTGCATGTCTTTGTAAGCTCCTTCATTACTAAGTCTGATAAAAACCATAAAGTGTAGATTGGTGGTAGGGACATCAAGGTGCTGCTGAATTGTCCAACAAATATATTTACAAATATCCTACAGTCTTGTCATTTTTTACTACACAGTGTTACTGGAATTATCTACAGTATGCTGAGTTACCACGCGTTTTCTGCAAAAAGTGGGTTATTGGGGATACCTGACCTGAGCCCACGGAACAGTAGTAGAGTATGAACAGTAATGAATGAAGTAGTGTTATGGTTTTCAACTTTTCGAACATTGCAGAATAAAAAGGGAGCTGATGCTACAACCTGTATTTATAGGATTTACAAACTGCTTTACATGTGTGAACCCGAAAGATGTGTAGGTTTGGTAAGACTTCCCTGCCATGACTTGACTTTCAAATTAATCTGTAGCCTATCAGGTGCCTTATTCCATTTCAGTAAATCAGTGTAGATTCAAGGGCATGCTTTCATTTGCATTAGTTAAGATAATAGTGTGTATGCAAGTGCACACAACTTTGCATATTGATTCTAATCCATGCCAAATATCAGGCCTGGAATGAGCAAAATGTCTTCAAGCAAGTAGAATTCCAGAAATAAGGGCTAAATTTCTATCTCCTCCTCCATCCCTCAAACAACTTCCAGTGTCCACTGCAACAGGACACAGCAGAAAAAGGTTAACTCAACGCTCCTCAGGTTCATGATGATTTTGTAGTTTGTGCAGCCTGATATCTTCATGTCATAGTCATGTTGTAGCATGCATGTGAATACCTGTACAAACAGAGGTATGGTTTGCATGCTGGCGATTTCTCCCCTGTTTATGTGGTCTCTGGCCAGAATGTGAAGCGCTCCTGTGCAACCCTCTACTATTTCCTCCATACGAACACCATCCTGGTAACAGAGACAAAAATAAAAGAGACAGAAAGACATCAAAGAAATAAATAAATCAGCTGATCTAAAACTGCTACTGATACAATATGTTTTCATTCACCCCCCGCACAGTTGTCATAAAGGGGGGCGTTACTGAAAACCGCCGGATGCGGCCATGCGGATGTTGCTGCTTGGTTCAGGCACACAGCAACTGTGTGTGTGTGTGTGTGTGTGTGTGTGTGTATTCTTGTGTGCATGGTCCAGACCTGGTATGTCTGCTGTGCGGAGGAGGCATGTCTCTGTGTGTCCTGGTGAGCCTTCAGCAGCAGGTTGACCAATCTTGGAATAGCACCTGCCTCCCTCAGCGGCGCCTGATTGGCCGGGCACAGCGCCAGGTTCCGGATCAGACCAACTGTTGCCTGAGGAAAGGACAGAGATCAAAGACCTTTTTCAACAAGACCAGGCTTTATTTGGGTCAGCTTTGATGGCAACTTTACATGTGGTGCCTTCAAATGGCAGTGCCAGGAACTGTTTGGAACTTCAGCAAACCCCATGCACTGCACTCATGTTTACCAACCAGTGTGTGATGCTTCATATCAAAGGAAACCACTGGGATGAGAAGAAAAGAGATCTAACAGCTTCAAGTGGCTAGAGCGCTCACTGCTGAGGAGACAGCTGGGCCAACTCCAGCATCCGGAGAGAGCTCAGCGCTATCTCACAGTTACACTAGCAAAGTGTTCAGAAAAGCTCCGATTTTACTTTTAAACATGACATTCTTTATCCCTACACACATTTCAGAGTGAATAACATCAGTGTAGCATGTTGGGAAAGTTTCTCAAAAATGTAAACACATTAAAAATGCAGGTAAATTTAGAAACTTTGGGATTTGGTGGGCGTGGGTGGGGTGGGGGGGGGTCGTGTTTAAGTGAAGGTTTTAAAAAAGTTTTGGGCCCAACCGGTACAGAAATGCGTGTGCAACCCTAAGAGTAAACTGTTAAGAATCTAAAGCTGGCATGGTAGGTCTGATCAGATTCATGATCTTTTGTACTTCTGTGTTTGTCCCTCTCCTTCATATCTTTTTTGTGCAGGTTTGCAAAGTGAAAAAGCCCAAAGTCTACCCCAAAGGGATTTCCCATCTCCCACAGAAAACACTGCTCCTGAACTGCCCGAAAACAGGCAGAGGGAAAGCAATTTTCAAGTTGAAATGCTCAATGTATGCACAATAAACTAATAACGTGGATGTTATTTGGGCAGAGGAAGATGACTAATTTTTACACAGCATTTCTTTACAAGATAAACATGGGTTTCAACTGTAAAGGTGATTTATGAAATATCAAAATTTAAAAATCAGGTTTTGTGCCTGGTTTATAGTCACAATACAACATGTTGCAGAGTGAACTTGAGTTTTGTAACTCCCTAGTGCTACACAGACAATATAGATTAATAAAGAACTATCATCAGAAACTATCATCACTGGAGAAATGAATTAGAATTTAAGAGTCTGATATCTTGGGGTAAAAAGCTGCTCTGCAGTCTGGTGGTGCGGCAGCAGAAACTTCTATATCTCTTCCCAGAAGGCATCAGGGTGAACAGGCACAGGCTGGGTGGGTATTGTCCTTCAGTATCCTTTGGGCTCTGCGTAGGAACCTCACCTCACTGATATCACTGATGCTCAGGAGATGCGTACCAATGATCTTCTGAGCAGTTTTAATCACCTGCTGCAGAGCCCTCCGGTCCTGGCCGTGCACATCCCATCTTAGTGATGTTTCCAGTCAGGATGCTTTCTATTGCTCCTCTGTAAAAACTGACAACAAGCTCAAACAATACGAAACAGCAACAAGATGTTAACGCCAATGCTGCAGAGATGCTAAAGGATAAGAGCAAACTGTTACCAAAGCACAATAGAGAAACTGCCACTAGGATGCCCTGTCGCCACCACCAACAGTGGTGTGCCACCACCTAAAGACAGCAAAACACACACATAAAACACTACACAATAAGGCTAAGTTGAAGGTGCGCACACAGCTATCATATACACACCACCACATGTAGTGAAGGGAAGAGGGGCTCCCACAGTCACAGCCACCCTGTCTGTCTGGCAGAACACTACAAAAAGAGGGAAAAGGGCTGAGGGAAATCACGCAGCCCCAAAACAGGGAAATTGCCCACCCTTAGCAGAACCTAGCAGTTGGCAAAAACATTCACAAGGCCCATCCCCCTGTAACATCCATCAACCGCTTACCAGGGTCGTGGGGGGCTGGAGCCTACCCCCCGTAGGTCTCATAAAAAGAATCCTCATGTAAAATCAGGACACAAAAATTATCAGTTGATCTGGCAGGCAACACAGCAGTGTCTATATAACCCTCAACTAATGACTCCAGTTCATTCAAAGACCGAACTCAGGGTATCAACCTCCACTACCATCTCTGCGGTAAACTCAAGCAGAACAGGCCATGCAGTCTACAGGGTCTTGGCAACAGGTGGCTGAAAATGCCTGTAATAAAATAAAATTAAAGTGTGTTCACAGAAGTTAAAACAGTTCTGCATCAGCCTTGAGGCATACCATCCAAAATCCTAACCTGCTCCCTGACCACACTGCAACACAATGCAGAGAGAGAGATCCTGAGTGCTCCCTGAATATCAACTCTTAAGGAGGCATTTGTCTCCAGGTGTGTGCCCGCTACTGGAGAGGCAGGGTGGCGCTTACCTGAGAGGGTGAAACTAGATTGTGGCATTACTAGGCCGAAAGCCTACCAATCACAGTGAGAACTGGATACCCACACAGGCTAACTAATTCAGTGATATACAACCTTACATTTAAACAGCTAGCCTTGTTATGAAACTAGAACCATCGGTTAATATTTAGTTTTCTCTGTGTTATTAAGCAGCTAGCTATCTGTGGCTCACTATTGAAACATACAGAGGTGGCCAAATAGAAACCTACTGCCATCCGAAAGAAAGAAAAAGTCTTTAAAAATAGACAAAACTAAATATGGCAGTATTTTCTCAAGGAACAACCAGTAGACACAAACAGTAGTTTTTTTGTTTGTTTGTTTTTCATAAAGGGGACTGTGGCCAAACTCCCCTAAGAGAAGGAGAAAGTTGAGTACATTGTTCTGAGGGGTCAGCAGTCTGATGAACAACAAGCTTTATTTGGACATTAAGACTTTAATTCACAAACACCTCAGAAGAAAAACCTTCTGATATCTTCTGATTCTCTGTCACATCACAGAATACCAACAGCAACTTCTAATGACATTTTCTCACATCTGATACAAATGGGCAATCTCAGAGCAGGATTGAGTTCTCTTCCTCTTAACACATCAGACATGTCCCTCAAAAACAAGCAACACGCAGCAATGCATCAATCCGTCCACAGACATCCCTCATAATGTCTTAATGCAAGTATAAAGACAGAACCACATCGACAGTGCTGTACATCATTTTGAAAACAAACAAACACAAAACCCACCAAATCAACATTAACTCGATCCAGTTCCCATCGCATATTACATTCAGCCTCCACTTAACAGGATGACCAAGTAGAGCAGAGCAGATTTCCCCCCAATACTCAAGTTTTATCTCTAATTCCAAAAATTAGAATTACAAAAAGAGCCTTGTAAATGCCTAGCAGCAATTATTACCTTTCAAAGTTGAAAGCCTCAAGTAGGCTACACATGAGATGTTGTCTGTAAAGAGGGTGTACTAAAGGTGGATGACCCAGGTACAAGTCACCCATGTATTTTAATATCCTTAATTACAAAATTCGAGCCACAATTACAAGCTTTTGATTTCATAGGAATGGGAGTTTCTCTAAATATACACTGAGCAGACAATGCATTTTTGATACTCTCCTGTTTTTATTTGCGTATTTGGTATTGAAGTAAGCAAAAAAAACTAAAAGTAAACAGGTTGCATTAGTTTTACATTGTAGTACTTTGATTACATTACTGATTAAATTTTTTTTTAAATAATTAGTAATTGGAACCCTGGAATACATTTTTAAAGAAACCCTCCCCACCCTGCTTTTATATTGCAAAACATAATTTTATTTTGAATTCAGCAAACCACTAACATTATTATTGTGATTATAATTTGCTTTTGATATGTAGTGAACACAAAAGATTAATTTTACTAAAATGATATAACCCAAATTATAACCACAATTATTTTCAAGTGAACGATATCCATTAGCTCCCTTCAGTACATGTTTTAGGATATACAGTATACAAACACTACTAAACGTGTTTTAATTTGTCTGTTATTTGTAAAACTACCTTGTTAAAATCTTCTTAAAATTCCATCAACTCACATCTCTACATCCCTGAATATAGTATTTGATGAGAGTGTAGGCAGCACAGAAATTGGTCAGAGAGATGGAGGGAAATAGAGTTACCATCAGCTCAGAGATAAAATTTCACAGATTATATACCCATTTCAGTACAGCTTGTTTTGAAATCTGAGCCATACTACCCATCAGAAATAATAATGAACACTTTACAACTGTTGACAGGATCTGGACCAATCTAAGTGTGATTAAAGGGAGGAAGGGGAATAAGAAACAAAAGATGAAATGAGTTATCAGAAAATTTGGGGAGGCATCTTATAATTTATTTCCAATGGGTAAATAGTGTATTTTTAAAGTTCACACCAACTAGACATTGAACATTTAGAGTCTATATTCACAATATACATTTTGTAGGTAATGGACAGTGGCAGAATGAGTATTCAGGTATTCTACCTTAGTAAAAGTAACAATTTGTATAAACAAAAATTACCCCCTTACAAGTCCTGTGTTCAAAATCTTACTAAGTACATCAGTATTAGCTGATTAGCTTTATGTTGCCGCTGGTTAAAGAAAAGCAACGTTTCTGCTTAAGTACTTTCAATACGAATAAAAAAATATTTTAACCACTTCTAGTAGAAATTATCTAGCATAAATAAGAAAAAAAATTACAAAATCACAATCAGAATGTGTACACATACGAGGAATTTGACTCTGGATTGTACAATGCTCTTACTTATACAATAATACAATAACACAAGAATACAGTAATAAAATCAAACACAGGCTACAGTATAGAGAACACATACATACACACTAGGGGCAGCTATGGCTTGTTTGCCCATTAATCGGAAGGGCGTAGATGGTAGATGTTATATACAGGTGCACATACACATATAGGCACATATAGGCATGCATGTACACAGTGGGATGAGTGCAAAGAATGACGAAGGTGGATTTGGTATACAGTATGTACAATATACATATATGACGATATGAACAGCTTGAAATAGAGAACGATGAATAAATAAATAAGTGGTAACCACTAAACAGGGGGCTGAATAGAGACAGAGTTACTGGGTTATTGCACAGGAATTGTTCCTGACACTGTGAGTCAGAATCAGCTGTTCATCG